ACAATATCTAAGTTATTTAATTAAAAAAACATGTAAATCCTTACCATCTAAAACATAAGTCCTTTCACTTCGGAGTTCCGAATGACAATGAAGACTGAACGATAAGTGAACGGTGAACGCAAGGTGAACGCAAAGTAAACGGAACGAAGAGCGAACGGTGAACGTATTGTGAACGGTGAACGCAAGCACACGGTGATCGGTGAACGCAATACTGTGAACGAAGAGTGAACGGTGAACGCACGCTGAACGAACGGTGAACGAACACTGAACGAACGGTGAGCGAACGGAAAAATGGGAAAGTAGAACGTTTCAGGGACTGTATAACATTGCTCCTCACGAGCAATGGGTTTTTGTTTGCATTGCTCCTCGCGAGCAATGGGTTTTATGTATAAATATAGGAGTGATTTTAGACAGACAGTCAGTCAGTTTTTCATATTCATTACGATCACTTCGGACAATTTTTATTTGGATTTTTATACTTACTGTGTTTATGTTATTGCGGATTTTAAATTGTGAATAAACAGTAAACTTGATTACTTGCGTATCATTTCAAGAATATTCATTGGAAGAAATGGAAAACACTGAGAGCTATTCCCCTTAGACCGTATCGGAAAAACGTTACACTATATAATCAATAGAGCCCCGCCCTAACACCATAACCCCTGACCCTGGGGCCATAAAATTCACAATTCTGGTAGAGGCACTCTTGCTCATCATAACTATGAACTTAATTAGTTTATTTAATACCCAGGAGCAGAGAAGAAGATTTTCTAAGAATTAATGCATTTTCACTATATAATCAATAGCGCCCCGCCCTAACACCAGAACCCCGGACCCTGGGGCCTTGAATTTCACAATTTTGGTAGAGGCACTCTTGCTCATCATAACTATGTACTTAGTTAGTTTATTTGATACCTAGTAGCAGAGAAGAAGATTTTCAAAGATTTAATGCATTTTCACTATATAATCAATAGAGCCCTGCCCTAACACCATTACCCCTGACCCTGGGGCCATAAAATTCACAATTCTGGTAGAGGCACTCTTGCTCATCATAACTATGTACTTAGTTAGTTTATCAAATACTCAGGAACAGAGAGTAAGATTTTCAAAGATTTAATGCATTTTCTCTATGTAATCAATTGCCCTTGCAGAAATTATTCCTGACTTGAAAATGCTTCTCAGGAATTCCTAAGATGTCCTAAGAATTCCTAAGATTTCCTCACAATCTGATTTGAGGAAATCCTAGGAGTAACAATCCTGGGATTTGATTTCAGGACATCCTAGGATCTCCCAGGACTTCTTTGTTAAACATTTCAAATCCAAATCTTGCCAGGACATTTCATTGTAAAGCCAGGAGTTAATCATTTTTAAGATAATCCCATTTCCTAAGACTTTTGACTTAATGTTGGGACTTTTGTAAAATAGACAAATTAAACTTTACAAACTTGTACATGTTAATATATGTTAAAACAGAATGACAGGAAATTTTATTACTTTTAAAGTTTTAATGTATAATATCAAGAAAATCATAAAATGAATAATTTTCAATCATTACATATTATACTTGATACATAGAAAGACACTGACCCTAGAACTATTTTTTAAATTAAATACTTTCTGAAATATTGATGCTGTCAGGGAGGAGTTATACATGTATAAATATGTTTTAAAAAAAAAATTGTTTACAGACAAACAATATTTCACCATTTTCAAATCACACATTTCTGAGTTGATTTTTATCCATTAGAATTAAATTCTACACTTAATCTTTAGATTGCTTCGTTCATGGGAAACTGAGTGCAAGCATAGTTTTTTTTTTCGAAAGCACTGGTCATACAAACTTGGCCATCTTGCAATACAACATCAAGTATTAATACAACAGAAGGATGGAGTGGTAAATTTTCTTCATCTGTCAATTTAATTTTTCACTTCGCATTTCATTTCGACAAAATAAAACATATTTTCCTCAGAGCACGTTATAAGAAATGGCTCTCCTATACCGTCATCACCTGCATACACATTATATATCTCTCAGGTGGTTACCAAACTATCAGCTTCAAAGTTACATGCCTGGCTAGAAGTATCTTTTTTTTGTATCTTCTTCTTTATCAGTGTCATTTGGTTCATCAAACTGTCTTTGACTTTACTATCTTTAACATCTTCATCCAAATCTGTATGATTTCGCTGTATATTCACCCATAACTGCCAGAGAGACTATACAAAAGAAAAGTAATTATTGAGTCATTGAAAGAAGAGTACACTACACAAATTTAAGTACTACATAAACAGCATATTCAAGAAGCATGACTTGGTCTGTGACATCATACTTTCGTCACTTTCTGACTTAAAAAGCTTGGTATTTCAAATATTGTTGGGTTAGAATCGTGTTGTATTGTCAGAGTTTGAGAATATAATTCCTCATGTTTTTGATATTGAGTATTGCTTTTATTTAACGAGGAAAATCTAAAAAAAACGCAGTAAAACTTATAGAGTTTCCTGAAAATTTTATCCACATAAACAAAGATCAAAAAAAACTTTTCAAAGGTTTTGACCAAATTCGAGTCGTAACATAACTATTTAATACGATAAAAATGCGCTTTCCCTATAGTTTTATAGCCAGATATACTAATTTTCATTCATCACTTAGCAATAAGATACTTACAGACATCGTGACAGGCTTGTAGATACGAAGAAAAGTCGTTGTTTACAGCACATGTGACAACTTCACGATCCGCCATATTTGTGTTTGGACGGTTTCCATGCAAATTGTTCTTGGCCTAAATGTATCATTGTGGTTTCTTCTGTAACACTTTCTGTGAGTAGAATTGGTTGATCAAGGATATTTATTTTTTATTTTTCTAATATGCAGGTCGTTTGTCACTGAAAATAACTTACGTGTTTTTTTAAACAAGATTCTCGGGAAAATGTCGGGATATTTCTTAAAGGTGTACAAAATACCCCTACACCGTGTCTGCGCGCGAACTTCCGAGAGGTGGTAAAAAAAGTGATCTTCGATCAATTGGTACCCGGTGTATAAAATATATTTTACTGTACACTCAGCTTTGAATATTAATTTATCAGAAAATATTCGCTAAAATATATTTTCTTTTTGTAAAAAAAAAACACGTAAATTCACATTAATCACAAATTATTTTCAAGAATAAACAAACCGCATTTTCTTGGTGTGGCACGAAATAACTTTACACCGTCCTGTATCATCCTCTCGCGAGACTTCATCGAGAAGCGCAAAATAGGAGTTCAAGGAGCGGCAATGTTTAGAGAGACTGGTTAAGTGTAATGAAATGCACAACTTACGTCCAAGATTGACTCTAATTCTTCACATAAACCATGTTCTCTTTCCCAAAAATCTTGGTTTCGCTAGGAGTGCAGTAAAGGGAACGTTGGAAGAAGTGTAGATATCATGGCCACAGGCCAGTGGGGTAAGTGGCAAGTGGTTCCTTGTAATATGTATTTAAACACACAAATATTGTTTAATAATTTAGTGCATGTGATGTGTTGTATAATATTTCAATATTGAAACAGAAGAAACGATTTGAATATGTGTAAAAGGTTTTTGGGCATACTGTGATTCAGTCTAGTCCATGAAGATCAAACGTACATTATTTTTTTTTAACACAGTGAAATATTTCCAGGTTTTACATGTTAAAATTTAGTAAGCAGAAGACTTATAAACAAATATTTATTATCAGTTAAGTACTGTTAAATTTGCATTGAATGTTTTGACATGGTGTAAATTTTGGAATTATACTGTTAAATAAAGCCTTCATTGCATTGTTATCTTCTAGCCAGAACCTTGAAGCCTGGCAAGGATTATGAGACTGGAAACTCCCATTGAGACTACCAAATGAAGAGAAAGTTTCAGGTATCTTGTAATTTTTAAAAAAAAATTTTTTTCTAAACTTGAAAGAATATACAGATTTCACATTCCTAAGAGTTATCTCCGGTTGTCGGCGTAACACTCATTTCTCCCACTTTGTCCTTTGTAAGTTACCTGGAAATATTTTTATTTTCAGACATTTATATCTAACAATATCGGTCTGTAACTGTATTGCCAGAATATGGGGCAACTTTAAAAACATAATGAACAAATTCATACATACTATATTTCTGAGATACTGGACGTATACATAAAGTTGGTAAGGTAATAGAGGTGAAACAGTGTCTTACGCCGGTTGACCCTGGATTGACCTCGCAAAGGGGAATAACTTTTGTAAATGTGAAAGTCATCTATGAAAGTTTATGGTACATTTTAATCTCTGTAACTTGTATTAAGTTGGGAAAACTGACACAGATGTCGTAGAACTCATAAGATAATATTCGCAAAATTTAGAACAGAAAAATGAAAAAATCAGCAAGAAATATCAATGACAGCCATCATTAAAATTAATTTCAGCTAGATTACAAAAGAACAAATATTATATACACGTCTTATAAAAAATTTTATTGATAACTTTGCAGACTGTTTAACTCGGACTAAGGGAAAAGAAGCAAATTACAACAAGGAGAATATTGCCGAGAAAGGTAAGCTGTTCAAATAATGTTAATGTATGATTTTAATGTTCTGTTCACACGGAGAGTTTAATTCACAGTATTTTAATGCCAAGTAAATTGACTTTATACGACAGCTGTGGTAAACTGGTAAAGCGGTTAACTATTGCGAATTAAAATTTTATTTTCTACAAAAAGGCTATTCAGTAAGATTATTATGACATCATTTGTAAATCATGTCATGTATGCAATTGATTAACATACCTTATTCCTTATGCAAGTGTGAATAAAATAAATCTTTTGAGAAAAATGGTTCATCTTACTTGGGCAAATTTAACACATATTTTTATGGACTGGTAGAATCTGAAAGCTTGATACATGTAGCATCTTTGGCTACTAAATTTTACAAGTTTGATTTTCATCCCTTAGAAATAATTACATATTTAGACTAAACAATGGAATACATTAAGTAAAATTTTATTTTAGCAAAGACAAGTGAAAAGTTGAGTGAAGAAAAAGCAAACAAGGCTTCACGATCTGCAACTAGGCCACTGGCGATGAAGAAGAAAAATGTACATCTAAAGAAGATACATCAGTGATCAACTAAAGCTGAGCGACTTATATTGGATTGACGAGGTGCAGGGGGGATATTAATTTGGGTCTGTTTATCTTTCTGTTTGTCAATCTGTCTGTCTGTAACACTTCGTTCTCTTAACATTTCCAAAAAGCCATCAGATATTGCAATGACATTTTATATTATAAATATTTGACGATCCCACTGCAGAACATGATTAATCATCAATACAAATTTAATATTGTTTATAAATTAAATATTACCCATATATATTTTGAAATGAAATGGTCAGAGGTCAAGGCCTCTTTCGGGGGCACATATTGTTTTTGCCTGTCTGTTTATCTGTCTATTGCCAATTTACCTTTTGCCATAACTTTTGAATTATGAGAGATATAGATACTTCATATTGGGTATGCTTACTCCACTTTCAAATGAGACCAAGACCAATGACCTTGACTGTCATCGTTATGCTAAAATAAAGCCTTATTGAATCTTTTACTTTTGAACCATAAAAGGTAGATATTTTATATTGAGTATCCATACTCCACTAATTAAGTTCTTTCAAATTACATCAAGGTTAATGACCTTGTGACTTTGACCTATATGTTTTTGTTTTTGTTATATGTTTTTTCTTTTTCAAACTTTGTTGCCACCAGGTGCATACTGTTTTTGTTTTTTTTTATGGGGGGGGGGGTGTTATGAATTAGTTCTGTTTGGTATCTGAATCTTTTATTGTACAGAATTCTTCAGAAGTGACGAACTCTGAGGGCCTCACCCCTACTCTCTACACTAGGTTGTTGATTTAAATATTTTTTTATTATTATTAATATTTGTCATTGTACATGTATATCATAAATATTCTATGAGAGCTGCTTCAGAATGTATCAACATAGTTTGAAAATAAGACGATCTGTTTCCCCCTTGTGTGTAAATCATGATGTTGAATCATAACTGCACTATAATGTTACAGCAGTAAAATTGTAAAGAATTTGTTGTATCAGATACCATCAGCATTCTTTAAAAATTATTTTATGTATTATTTTTTCTGTGTGGCCATGAATTTTTATAATGCATACATTCATTAAATTTTTTTCAGAGATCTTATAATTCTGCTTTGTTGCTATGTATGATTTTTTTAAAAAAAAAAGATGTCCTAGGAGGCTAGGATATCCTAGGAAATCCTAGGAATTCCTGATTTCCTAGGACATTTTAAGTGTTGGGATTTTCCTGGGATATCCTGGGAAGTCTTGGTGTTTTGATTCCTGGGATTTTTCTAGAACCCCTGAATTGGGACTGTCCAAGGAAATCCCAGGAATTCCTGTTCCAAAAACATCTCAGGAAATCTTAGGAATAATCCTAGGATTTTTTCAAGATATCCGAGGAATAAATCTTAAGATTGTCTTAGGATTTCTTAGGACATCTCAGGAATATTCTGCAAGGGTCAGAGCCCCGCCCTAACAACAGAACCCCTGACCCTGGGGCCATGAATTTCACAAATTTGGTAGAGGCACTCTTGCTCATCATAACTATGTACTTAGTTAGTTTATTTGATACCTAGTAGCAGAGAAGAAGATTTTCAAAGATTTAATGCATTTTCACTATATAATCAATAGAGCCCCGCCCTAACACCATTACCCCTGACCCTGGGGCCATAAAATTCACAATTCTGGTAGAGGCACTCTTGCTCATCATAACTATGTACTTAGTTAGTTTATCAAATACTCAGGAACAGAGAGTAAGATTTTCAAAGATTTAATGCATTTTCTCTATGTAATCAATAGAGCCCCGCCCTAACAACAGAACCCCTGACCCTGGGGCCATGAATTTCACAAATTTGGTAGAGGCACTCTTGCTCATCATAACTATGTACTTAGTTAGTTTATTTGATACCTAGTAGCAGAGAAGAAGATTTTCAAAGATTTAATGCATTTTCACTATATAATCAATAGAGCTCCACCCTAACACCATTACCCCTGACCCTGGGGCCATAAAATTCACAATTCTGGTAGGGGCACTCTGGCTCATCATAACTATGAACTTAATTAGTTTATTTAATACCCAGGAGCAGAGAAGAAGATTTTCTAAGAATTAATGCATTTTCACTATATAATCAATAGCGCCCCGCCCTAACACCAGAACCCCTGACCCTGGGGCCATGAATTTTACAATTTTGGTAGAGGACTCAATGCTGATTACAATCATACCAACAGTTTGACTGCTTGACGTCTGGGAGTAAAGAAGAAGATTTTTAAAGATTGCACTGCTTTTAGTGGTTTTTGCCCCACACCCCAGGCCCCAGGGGGGCAGGGACTACGAAATTCACAATTTTTGTTCCCCTTCACCCATAGATGCTACATGCCAAAATTGGTTGAAATTGGTTCAGTGGTTTCAGAGAAGAAGCTGAAAATGTTTAAATGTTAACGCACGACGCAAACCGCACAACGACGGATGAAAACAGACAGCAATAGGTCACCTGAGTTTACTCAGGTGACCTAACAAGCATATCAGCAAGGTTTTAATGCTTACAAACAATTTCTAGGTCTCTATAATATTGAATTTGATGACAATTTTCCACCGATTTCTCAGGACATTCTGATATATTTTGTAGCATATTGCCAAAACAATTTGTCTTTGAAGTACTCCACCATAAGATTATATTTGTGTGGCATTAGATTTATGTACATTGAAAAGGGGATACCAAACCCATTTGAATCAAAATGTCAGTCTATGGAAAGATTAAACTTGATTTTGAATGGCATAAGAAAAGTTCAAGCAAATACTTGTACATCCAAAGTTAGACTACCCATTACATACCAAATTTTAGAAATCATGTGTGTAGAATTAAGAAAAGGTGCATTTGACAAACACACAAATGTTTTATTGGAAGCAATGTATGTTACAGCATTTTATGGATTTTTTAAATGTGGAGAATTAACTATTCAAAGTTATTTTGACCCTGAATACCACTTAACTTGTGAAGATATTCTTGTAGAGAAAAGTTGTATTAAGATATTTTTAAGGCAATCGAAAACAGACCGTTTTCACAAAGGTACAACTATAACGTTACATTCGAATCAAACAGTTATTTGACCAGTTAAATCTCTGTGTATGTACATGCAAATTCACAGTTTTAGGAATGCATTGCCAAAAGATCCATTTTTCGTTACAAATTGTCATTTGCCTGTAACTAGGACATACTTCATTGATTATTTGAAAAACATTCTTGAAAGAATTGGGTATGATTCAAGTCAATATAATGGACATTCATTCAGAATTGGAGCAGCAACATCAGCAGCTTCAGAAAGAATGGAAGATCACCTCATAAAGACTTTAGGACGGTGGTCATCGGACTGTTATAGACGGATATATTCAAACTTCAGAGGATGTGGTCAAAGATGCGCAGTGTAGTTTAGCAACTAGTACAGTTAACAAAATATGACATTATATGTATAAGAAATGTAGCAACAATTGTGTGGCAATAGAATAAGCTCTGAATTATATACACTTTCTGATATGTATCACTTATGATTAATGGATTGTTTCTGAACTTCAAAACTTTAAAACTTTATTTTGGAATACCTGTACTTTGTAAAATTTAAGCAATATATTATCCATCGCATGTAGTATCACAAGCAAATGAACACGTTTCTTACAATATCTTTCCCATACTTGGGGCTTATGCAGCTGCTACTCATCTGCATAATTTGGCATATTACTTCATGGTATTTTACCATGTCATTTTTCCCAAGCATGGGATATTGTACATGTACGTCTATCATGCAGCATCATTGTTGTGTACTTATGTTATGAAAATTATCAAATATTTCATCCAGGGCAAGCCTAGCTCTACTTAGGTAGGATTACTCTGCTCTTTACACAGGTGCTAGCAAACATAGCTCATATGGGCAAACCTACGTTGCCCTCAACCTTCATGAATCAGGTGCTAGTGAGCATGTCTCACGTTAGTGGATATTGCTCATATAGGCAAGCTAGATTTCCTTGCTCTCAGCCTTCGTGTATCAGGTGCTAGTGAGCATGTTTCATATAAGCAAGTTTTACTTGATCTCAGCCTGTTGTTCATCCAATTCCACAGAGTAAATTCTATCCTATTAAGTCATAATTTGAGTCTTCTTTTTTGATGCTGCTGATAAATACTTAGATCACTTTGTGTAAAAAATTACATAGCTGCATGAGCCCTATAGGCAAGATTTAAAGTTAGATTAATAAAGATGAAACTTGATAACTTTGTTGTTTTGGGGTAATTAATTTACTGAAGAGTATCATAAGACCCTGTAATTCTACCAGTGTTCCAGCTAGGGGGAAATAGAGGGGCCCTGCGTCCCGCCCTCAAATCAGTGCGCCCCTCTGCCCATTACAGGTGCCCCTGTGTCCCTTGTGAGTGACCAATATCATTCTGACTGTCCTTTAACTCATTAGAATAATTAGTGTGTTCCAATCCAGATTACCTAAGGCTAATCAACAGTTCATACCTCCTGCCATAGACGATTATGTAATGAAATCGCACTACGGTACCTATATACTGTACACACTATCAATTACAGGTGATTAGGTAATTACTTTGATCATTTTACTGTCTGAATAAGGGTTAAAAGCTGAAATATACTTGGAGAATGACCATGCTTCTGTTTTAATCTAAAACAAGAGTCTTGTTCTATAGCGTTCTAAAAATAAATCAGACAGTGAAAGTAGCATGAACAATGACATTCAGCATTCTAAATGAAATTGTAGACTTTTTTTTTTAATGAAACAATGATGGAATCTAATATCTTAATAGCAAAAAAATATGTATAAGTAAATTTTTACACTCTGGAAGAGATTTTTCAGCTATAATTAGTGATGGGAATTGGTAAAATTTTCATAATCGATGATTGGGTTACTCTAAGTAGTTAATTATCGATTATAATCGGACATGTAAAAATTATATCAATTTAAACTAGTAAATGGTAAGAATGGGTAAATGACGACTTTCTGTGGTGATCCAGCTGGTCTTTTGTTCATTTTATGGAACCAAAAGTACATCCATGCCCAGAAACATGCTTTGTTATCCGGGTAGAAATACAAGAGTTTGTTTATCTGCACCATATATATTACGTTACACAAATAAGTCAAAAGCAATTCTGTAGATGGAAAATTAGGGTTAACAAGCAAATTCAAAGAATTGTGGTCCCCCGCTTTCGGTGTCTTTGTGGGTGAGATGTCAAATATGAACGCCCTATTATATGCCATTAAGAAATTATCAAAGTTGATTTTTTTTTAAATAAGGTCAATCGTGAAGGCCAAGGTCAAGGAGTCAGAAATCATAGCATGCTTGGAAATATCTTCTCATAGGTAATACACATGTCAAATATGAAAGCCCTATCTCTTTTCAAGTAAAAGTTAAATGGAACAAAATGTGTTTGTGAAACATTGATGACCCCGTATGGCAACAAAGCGAAGATTAAACTTTTTTAAAATGTAAATTAAATATATTGGTACTCAAATTTAAAAAAAATAGGTCAAACTGCAAGGTCAAGGTAAAAGGGTCAAAGTTCTTGGTATCCAGTGAAAGGTCTTCTCACAAGGATTACTTTTGTGAAGTATGAAAGCCCTAGCCCTTACCATTCAAAAGTTATGGCCAAGGTTAAATCTTTTAAAATGTAGGTCAAACTCCAAGATCAAGGTCAAAGGGTGTAAGTGCTTGATATCAATTGAAAGGTCTTGTCACAAGGATTAAATATTTAAGGTATGAAAACCCTAGCCCTAACCCTTCACAAAAGTTATGGCTAAGGTTAATTTTTTTAAAAGTGGGCCAAACTCCAAATTCAAGGTCAGAAGGTCACAGTTCTTGCTACCCAATGAAAGGACTTCTCTAAAGGATTATATATATGAAGTATGAAAGCCCTAGTCCTTACCGACTTAAAGTTATGGCCAAGGTCAATGTTTTTTCATAAGTACAGTAATCTCCAAGGTCAATGTCAAAAGGTCAAAGTTCTTGATATCCAATGAAAGGTCATGCCACAAACAATACATATGTGAAATATAAAAGTCCTAGTATCTACCATTCAAAAGTTATGCCCAAAATAAAAAAAAAATACATTTTTGTGTAAAAGTGGGTCAAACTCCAAGGTCAAGGTCATAAGGTCAAATTTAGTGGTACCCAAAGAAAGGTCTTGTCACAAGAAATACACATGTGAAATATGAAAGTCATAGGTCCACTCAATCAAAAGTTATGGGCAAGGTTAAAGTTTTTGTGACGGACGGACAGACAGACAGACAGACTGACTGACTGACAGACAGACGAATGAGATTCAAATAATGGTATTATATGAGGTCAGTCCATCTGGATTCGGTTGCACGAACGATAATTAAATTTAACTAGCCGTTAACTTTGTGTTAACGCGACATTAAAATTAATAGCAAGTTAAATCGGTTGCACGAAAGTT